GGGGGCGCGTGTCAGGCGTGGTTGGACAACTTGTTGTCCAAGTACGGAGTGGTAGCAGCGGACTTGCACACCATGATCAGCTGGGATGATCTGAAGGCGGCGTGGCACAAGCGGTTCCAGGTGGAGCCGGCAGAGATCAAAGCCATGGACAAGCTCATGGTCTTCGAACAAGGCACGGTGCCGAGTACCAACACTTGACGTCAGTACCAGACATCCAGATGGGCTTCAAGGTCATCCGCCACTACTTCATCTCAAGGTCATGTCCGACATTGAGCAATGCCCTGACGCATGTCGAGGACACCATGACGACGACGACAGAATTATTTGACAAGGCTGCGCAGATCATCGTTACGAACAAGGAGGCCAAGAGCCTCCGTTCATCTGCGTCAGGCCCGAGCGGGAACCAGCATCGGCCATGAGTGGCCGTGGTCGCAGCGGCAGCGCCGTTAGACCAAACCAGCGAGGTTGGGTCTGCCAGTGAAGGAGACAGATTCGCAGCTGCCCGGGAAGGTGGCCGCGCCGGCAGAGGCCGAGGGCACAGCAAGCCGAACACACACACCGTTTCTAGCCCCGGGCCCGGTGCAACAACTCAAATAGGCCCATGGACCCCGTATGACATCTCCGAGTCCGCATACAAGGCGCGCGAGAGATTCCACTATTGCCTTTGGTGCAACAGTGATCTTAATCAGACGCAGGTTTGCCCATTGAAAGGCAAGGGCAAACAGGAAAACTGAGCACCGTCGAGAGTGACGCGACGACACTCTCGACGCCTTCGGAACTAGTTTCTTCGCGAGTGACCAGCCTTCATTCAGAGGCGCACGCGGAAGTCGACAGTCCTCCGCTTCTATTTTCTTTTGAGGACTATGCTGTCCGGCTCGTTCCAACGCTGGGTACTCAAGCTCAAGGACAAGGAGTGTGTGCGGTTTCTTCTCTGTCCGGCAACAGCGACATATCGTCTTCAAGTGGTTCGTCACGGGATTCGACGCGCGAGTTCAATATAGAGGTTTTGAACCTGCTCACGTGTGAGGACTTTGCATGGCTTCCTCTCCCGACCACAAGTTGTTTGTCGGGACCGCAATGTGCAGCACTTAGCGCTCATCTCCACACTTACCTTTCCTTCTATGTACCACCAACTTCGCCGACGGATGACGAAGTCGAGGTGGGGGACATCCTGGCGTACGTTACCAAGGTGGCCCGCGAGTTTCGCACGCAGCGGTACGATAACAACAATGCATGTATGTCCGCATCCAGGTTGGGCAAGCGTCCTGCAGCGCTTTGCTGGATAGCGGCGTAACTCGCAACTTCATGAGCCAGTCTTTTATGCAAAGAGTTGGCCGTGGCGCACAGGTTCGGAGGAAGGCAAACCCGATGGCGATCAAGTTGGCTGATGGAAAGACGCAGCAACTACTCGACCGTTACATCGAGGYCGTACCGGTCTACTTCGCACCTCATGCATGCGAACCGGTGACATTCGATATTCTYGACACGGACTTCGACATCATTTTGGGAATGCCTTGGCTTGCAAGTGCGGATCACACGGTCAACTTCCATCGGCGGACTCTTAGCATTCGCGACGCCTTCGGCGCGAAAGTGGCGTGTACGATTCCTCTACCGCACTCTTCGATCCGGTGCCAAGTGGTAACAGCCAAATCATTCCGGGCGACTTGTGCTTACGAGCAGCCCGAGGAAATCGGCATATATTTCCTACGGATCGTCGCGGTAGCCGACTCTTCACCCACGGACTTGTCTTCGGACCCCCGTGTGGTACGGTTGCTGGATGAGTTCGCCGACATCTTCGAGTCACCTACCGGTGTCGTGCCGGGTCGGCCGATCTCTCACCAGATCATTCTTGAGGACGGTGCCGTGCCGCCGAAAGGTTGCATCTATCTGATGAGCGAGGAGGAGCTTGAGGTACTCCGCGCACAACTCGATGATTTGTTGGTCCACGGATGGATCCGCCCGTTTAGCTCCCCATATGGAGCAGTAGTTCTCTTCGTCAAGAAGAAGAACAAGGATCTACGATTGTGTATCGACTACCGCGAGCTCAACGCGCAAACCGTCAAGAATGCGGGGCCTCTTCCTCGCATCGACGATCTTCTCGAGCGRCTGGGCGGTGTGAAGTATTTTTCCAAGTTGGATTTGAAATCAGGATATCATCAAATCTCGATCCAGCCGAACGATCGCTACAAAACCGCATTCAAGACGCGGTACGGGCATTTTGAGTGGGTGGTCATGCCTTTTGGCCTCACCAATGCCCCGGCGACRTTCCRGGCGRCGATGATCAATGAGTTCCGTGCAATGCTGGACCGGTTCATGCTGGTCTACTTAGACGATATTCTCATCTACAGCCKGACATTGGAGGATCATCTTGGACATCTTYGACGATTGTTGGAGACGCTCCGTCGTGCCAAGTACAAGGCCAACCGTGACAARTGCGAATTTGTCCGGCAAGAGCTGGAATACTTGGGCCATTTTGTCACACCGGAGGGCATCAGTCCGCTATCGGACAAGATTCAGGCCGTCCAAGAGGGGTCGGAGCCTCGGAACGTCACAGATGTCCGCTCGTTCCTTGGTTTTACCGGCTACTATCAGCGCTTCATGAAAGGTTACTCCAAGATCGCGGCCCACTTGAACAAGCTTCAGTGCGAGGATCGACCGTTTGATTTTGGAGAGGAGGCGCGAGGATTATTCTTCGCTCTCAAAGCCGCGCTATTGTCTGCGGAGGTCTTGCGAATCTATGACGCGCTCGTGCCTACGCGTGTCACTACGGATGCGGCAGGCTATGGCATTGGTGGAGTCCTCGAGCAACAAGACGGTGTGGACTGGCACCCGGTCGAGTACTTCAGCAAGAAAGTGCCCCTCGTGCATTCCATTGACGATGCACGCAAAAAGGAGCTCCTCGCCTTCGTCCACACGCTCAAGCGGTGGCGGCACTTCCTCCTTGGTCAAAGCCAATTTCGCTGGGTAACGGACAACAATCCGTTGGTCTTTTACAAGACCCAAGACACCGTCAACAGCACCATCGCTCGATGGATAACTTTCATCGACCAGTTCGACTTCTTTCTCGATCACATTCTCAAGAAGTCAAACCATTTTGCGGATGCTCTTTCACAGCGTCCGGATCACTGTACCGCGGTCTACTCAACCTTCGAGATCGACGACGACCTGCGGAACAGCTTCATCCGCAGCTACCAAGCCGACCCCGATTTTCGCGACAAATACGCAAATTGCTCCTCTCCTATTCCGGCTCCTTCTCACTACCGGATCCAAGAGGGGTACTTGATTTTCCACATGCGGGGGAAGGACCTTCTTTGCGTACCGAGTGATCCTCACTTGCGTACACGGCTTCTTGGCGAGTTCCACGACGCTCCCGCCACTGGACATTTTGGAATCAATCGCACGATTGGCCGACTTCGCCAGCGATTTTGCTGGCCCGGCCTTCTCGGCGACGTCACACGCTATTGCGAGTCATGCGAGGTTTGCCGACGCTGCAAATCCCGCAACCATCGTCCGTACGGCAAGTTACGACCATTGCCAGTCCTGTTGCGGCGAAGGGAAGCGATTGCCATGGACATTACCGGCCCGTTCCCCAAGCACAAGACCGGAGTGGATGGGATTCTCACGGTGGTCGACCGACTCACCAAGTCCGCCATGTTTTTGCCTTGTCGCTATCATGCCAAGGCACCGGAGTTGGCCGAGGTTCTTTACGCCGGTTGGATTCGCACCAAGGGTTACCCCAAGGAGATCGTTTGCGACCGCAACACTCGGTTCATGTCCGATTTTTGGTTGGCGCTCATCAAGCGATGGGGCTCATCTCTCAAGCCCAGTCCAGCTCGCCACCCTCAGTCCGATGGCCAAACGGAGAGGGCGCATCAGACCGCACAGGTTCTTCTTCGCACTCTCATCTGCCCCGACCAGAAAGACTGGGTTGARCGACTGYYAGACGTTSAGTTGGCTTACAACTCTTCCATCCACCCGGCTATTGKGATATCGCCCTTCGAGTTCAAGCACGGCTMGCCGGTCACATCACCGTTGGRCACTATCACTCCACGCACGGCCGAGRGCGACGACCATCTTCTTTTCTTGCATCGGATGCAAGAGCTTCTTGTCAAGGCACGCGACYAGATAGCTAAGACGCAGCAGCGCATGAGCCAGCAGGCAAATCGCCAGCGTCTTCCTTGTCCATTCCGCGCCAGAGACCTTGTCTGGGTTTCAGCAGTGGAATTCAGCCTTGAACAGGACATCTCTCACAAGCTCTTTCCGAAATGGATGGGGCCTTGGCCGATCATTGAGCCCGCTGGGGACGCACCTAAATGGCCTTCCTTCACGATTCAGGTGCCTAGCCACTTGCCTGTCTACCTAGTCKTTCATTGTTCGAAATTTGCTCTGTACACGCCTGCGGAACATGATGATTTTTCCGGGAGACGTACGCAGGATCCACCTTCTATGGATGGTTTTCAGGAGGTCGGCGACATCATCTCCCAACGACGCTACGGCAAGAAGCCAATTGAGTATCTGGTGCATTTTGCTTACTGCACTCATCGAGCTGATCGTTGGTTGACCCGTGCGGAACTGCAAGCGACAGCTCCAGACGTTCTCGCACGCTACGAACGCAAGATGCAAGRCAAGCCGGWTTCTTCGGCTCCACGCCGCGCCCGCGTCCAGGTTCCACCTTCAGACCGACGGCTTCGCCCTCGCCCCGGCTTAACTTCATAAGGAGGGGGGGGTGTTACATGCAGCGCGTGCACACACGGGCCATTTTGCAGGCCCGACGACCATTTTGCAGGCCCGACGGCCATTTTGCAGGCCCGACTGGACTCAGGCCAAAACCCTGGATTTCAGGCCGAAAGCCTGAAATTCAAGGCTTACAGACCCCATTTGGGTTCAGGCCGAAAGCCTGACTTTCAGGGCCTACAGCCCCTGCAACGGTTCAGACTAAAAATGGTAATAGCATTTTTAGCCTTAACTTAAGGGCCATTTTCGGTCGTTCATCAGAACGACCGGTCTTGAAACTCAGGCACCGAACCAGGGTTTTGGGAACAACCTATATTTAGACTGTTCCCACGCCTACCTCAAGCAGGCAGTTGCACGCGAGCCCTTGGCACACTTCGACATTGGCAAGAGCTGCCTCCTCGGCCTGCTCACCCTCCTGCAGTCGGGAGGCAGGCCGAGGAAGTACATAGGACTTCCCAGGCACTTCCGAGGAAGGCAGTTCGGCAGTTGTAGTCTTCACGATTCGGGAGCAGCACGCTGGAGGGAGTACTGCGTTGTAGTAGAGTAGCATTAGCTAGTAGTCTTCAGCGCTGGGCGCAGTAGGTAGCTGTAGCCTTCGGCGCTGGGCGCCATAGCTAGGTAGTGGTAGGGATGATGGGCGGAGGCCAGGGATCACTTACCTGCAGAGCCGTTGCTCCAGCTTCGTCTTTGAGGTCCCTGCAGCACAGCGCCGACATTACAAGTTAGTACCTGGTTCGTAACAGTAAGAGAGAGAGGGTTCTCTTCTTCCTCTTCTCAATCCCCCATCTTCTTCTTACCCTCTCAACTTCTTACTTCCCTGCAGTTGCAGACTACGAGAGAGGAGATACCGGGCTTGGTGACATATGATCCAGACTCGACTTTTTGGGGGTTCAGACATGGCAATGAGGGACTATTTGGGATTGGTGACCAAGGCTTGGTGTTAACGACATTCCCATCTTCTTCCCTCCTTTCGTTTGTTCCTTATCTCTTCGTCTGTGTATGTCTGGACCTGGCGCTTTCTTCCTGTGTGTGGCGTCAGGCTCCTTCAAACTTCGTGATGGATACAATGCATGTTTAGTCTGAGTTCAAACATTGATTGGGCTAGTTAGAGGTACTCTAGCATTCTGCTTCGTTACTTTGAACTACGTGAATGAGGTCAGTCATGTCAGGTCAGTCTTTGTATCAAAGTCTTCCCTGCGCTCTTCAACATCTTTATGTATGAATGAGAATGTACATTGCTTGTCGAGATTCTACTCGTACCGCATTGTCTATTCAGTCCTTTTCATCACATTGCAGATTCTCAATTTATTACGTACATTGCATATATGTGCATGTAACAGTTGGTAT